TAAAGCTGGGTTTGTAGAAACAGTCGATTTAATTCTGCCGTCGTCCTTTTTTAACTTCGTTTCCTGTTCAGTCTGAATCTCCTCATCAATAAACATCTTTTCTTCTTCTGTCCACCTGCAGAGCGACAGACGGGAGCAGCTGGTTCTGAGAGGAACCCACCTGCTGAGACTAAACCTGTTTACATGTTTGAGCTTCATGATCAGTTTATTGATTTAAAGTTAAACATCAGAATCATCAAAGGTCAGAGTTCAGATCAGGTTTTATTAGCTTTGCTGTACATTCATCAACCAAACAGCATCACAGTCTGTGTGTTCATCATCATCATCATCATCATCATCATCATCATCATCATCATGGAGGAAGCAGCAGCTGGGAGGAGAACATCATCTTAAAGGAGGAGCTGAAGCCATAAATAGGAGGAAGAGGAGAAACAGACGACGGTCGCCAGCAGGAATTGATGATGATGATGGGTTCTACCTTCATCATCATCATCATCATCATCAGCTGGTCTGTTGGTCAAACTCTGACATATGGGGCTCCCCAGCAGAGGGCGCTGGAAGCCTTCCTTCCACTGGGTCGGTTCTGACATCGATTCCAGAACTTTCTGTGATCGGATCAGAACTCTGGAGGCTTTTGGGCCGACAGACGATAAAGATTCTGGTCCTGGATCAGAACCAGCTCTGGGTTTGGGTGGTAGAACCTCTGCTGGTTGGAAAGCCTCTGGAGCTCAGAACCCTTAGAACCACAGGGAGGCTCAGACCCCGCCCCCCCAGGAGAGGGAGGCTCGGCACCCTGAGGCTGCTGCTGGGGAGGCGCAGGCGGAGCGTTAGGAGTCGGGGGCGAAGGCTCTGTGGGCGTTGGGGAATTGCTGCGGGTTGAACTCCGGGTCGTCTCTGACGCGCTTCTTCACGTCGGCTTTGACCTGAGGGGAACAGCTGACTGTTAAGATGGCGGTGAGCCCGGAGGCCAACCTGAGCCCGGAACATTCCTACCTGCTCCGAGTACGCCTCCTTCACCTCCTGCGTTTCCAGGTCGGCCTGGAGCTGCTCCGGGGAGGTGATGGGCCTCACCCCCATGTTCCTGGCCGCCTGACTGACGGCGTCTGAGAGGGAGAGGAGGCTGCCGCCGCCCTGGCCCGTCTGAGGAACAACGCACAGCGAGATGAGACAGACGCCGCTGTGAGCGGCTCCGCCCACTGCCACGGCTCCACCTACCTTCCTGCGCTTGGCCGGCATGCCGTGGAGGTAGGCGTCAGAGAGCGGCGGCTGAGCCTTCATCTTCCTCTGCGTCATCATGTCGCGCCTGATGATGGGAACCCACTCCTTCATGACAGAGAGAGAGCAGAGGATGAGCGAGGAAGAGGAGGCAGAGGGATGAAGAACAGCAGCTGGACGCCTCCGTCTTACAGGAGGGACGGCGGCGGCCCAGCTCTCAGACTCCTCGCTGCCTCCCTCTGCTCCTGCTGCCACCATGTCGCCCCCTAGAGGCGCCGCACCGCCCGACGCTCCCAGATCTCCAGGCAACGCTCTGGTCTCCCTTGACGACGCAGCGGCGTTGTCGTGCGACATGGCCTCCTCTGCCGTGGTGGCTGCGGCGGGGGACAGAGTGTCTCCGATCTGCGGAGGACAGAACCATGAGGGAGGATCAGGACAGAGACGGAACAGGGAGACGGCGAGCTCACCGTGGCACTCTGAGCGTCCTGGGAGCCGCCGGCAGGACCGGGATCCGTCTGTGGAAGACAAAGCCATCCATGATTGATGAGGCGCCTGGCGTAAGGCGATACGCCGCCTGGC